GCTTTCCACAGAGGTTGCACTAGTTTGCAGTCCCACTGGCAGTGTATAATAGTCACAAGTCCAACAAGAGATGGCACCCTCAAATTAGGATACTTGGAGTAAGGTTAAATAAAGTGGCTGTTTAAAATATGGGTAGGGTATAAGGAATTCCAAGGTATAATGCAGTACCTCTGGTAGGTTATCACCCCAGTCCCAAAGGGAAACAAAGAATGGGAAAGAGAGAGACCTGAAAAAAGGACCGCTTTGCCTGTAGGACCCAGTCAGCCTGAGGTCATTGCAGGGAGGGTCGTTCAGAATGAACACCCTGACCTCACTTCCCTCCCTAACTCAGAGTGCCCCATTGACAGAACCCAATCAGAAGTCAGAAGGCAAGAGAACCTATTGATGTAGTCCGTTTAGGTCAGCCTTCCAGGGCAGAGGGTAAGGTGGAAAAAAGTGGAGAGAGGATCTCACAGGGGAAAAAATAAATTTAAAACAATGGATATGCACAACAGAATGAAGAAAGGTAAATATGAAAGCTAGTGCTGAGTCTTTCTGGCAAAGGAAAAGGAAGCTGAAGCAGAGGATTTGAACCATAAAATCCTTCCTCCTTGGGAAGAGCAAGGAGCTTTGGAATTGGTTGGCAAGGGCAGGATATGGAGAAATGGGAAAAGTTGCAGTCCTTTAATAGGCCAGATTGAACACTGTCAATTGGCTAAAGATGCTTCATATAACTAATGCACAGGAAAAAAAATTAACCTTGAACCTAGCATACATTCTCTATAGCTGATAATAATGATGTGCTGATATCATTGCTATTTGCTTTTAGGATTTTACCTGACAAACTGCGTTCTCTGGCCTTGGGTATGAGCTTTGTGACCAAAAGAATATTTGGTATGGATTTTTGGCAATATTTTATTATATCAAATTGTTTCTTTTCTGATATGTATATGTGTCCACCTGTATTAATATATAGCATTACAAATAATCATGGTTAAATGACAAAAAGCAAGTGAAAGGGGGAGCTGCTTTACAGAATTTAGGAGATAGTTAATGTAAAGAGAGAATACCTAATGCAAAGCTGGTCCTAACTGCCGTACAAAAAGTACATTATATTATATTTGATCAGAAGGTACAATCTGTTTAATCTGAAATATAGTCATCATCTCATACAAGTGGTTTGGTGAGTTCATACAAAACACTTGTATAACCACAGCAACTGTACTCCACACCGCCTGCGTGTTTGGGAAGCCACTAACCTAGACTACTGCTTTTGAATGTTTTAATCACCAAAGGCACTAAATCTGATGTTTTTAAAGATTTATTTGTTCCTCTTTAAGATATTTCCATATTGCTTTCCACAGAGGTTGCACTA